TCGTTTCTTTAGAATACCCACTCATGTTCTTTCTTTCTAGCTTTGATGTGGCTAGCATGATGTCAGTTACACTCAGCTGTGATCATCGAGTTGTGGATGGAGCGGTTGGAGCCCAGTGGCTTGCTGAGTTCAAAAAGTACCTTGAAAAGCCTATAACTATGCTGTTATAATTTACCCAAGAACTTCTACACTCTCTCTGCTGACATTATATTTATATGTTATTAAACAACTGGTTCTTTTAAAGTTTCACTAGTTAATTTTATTATTGAGTCTGTCCAGATAATTTATTTGTAATAGGCATTAATCTTTTTTAAAATGCCATTTACACCCAAATATTGTACTCCTCTAAAATTAAACATCAGTTTAAAGTTCTGTTCGCCTAGTGAAGGGACATGTGACCTAACTTTTTGGTAAAAAGTCCTTCCTGGGATGGGATTGTGGTTCCCTGCAGATGGGCTCATAAAAGTAACTGGATGAGACCTTTCAGTTTAGACTTTAATTGATTCAACTTGCTTAGTGGAGGGAAACAGAGTTATGAAAAGTATTTCTCATGGGAAGCTTTGTTTTGGAATCTAACCCTAGAATTTCCTATTCTATTCCATGATCTTGGTTTATCACCACACAAGGAAAATAAGTGAAACTTTAAGAGTCAGCATTTTCAACCAACTGTTATTTTTATATGAATCTCTAAATAAAATAGCTTTCCCTTCCTTAAGGTAAAAATATAAGCCAGCTTCTTGGTATAAATGAGAATTTATGTATTTATTTATAAATGATTTCAATGTATAATTTGAAAAGTCTGCAGTTTCTTCCAAATAAAAGAACATGCTTATTGAAATGAACAAGTTGCAGAAGTAGAATTTTCCTTCTAAGATAAACTGGATGTTGATTTAAATGATCCCAATTACCAAATGTTACTACTCTACTAGAGAACTCTGTGGAATGAGTATGGAATGTATATGGGAGAAGTGTACATATGTAATATATGTTTTAGAATTGTGTATGTGCCAAAATTCATTTATCATCAGATCCTGCCTGAAAAGAAATGGATGAAAGGATGTTAGTGGGCAGTTGGCAGTGCTAACTATGTTGTCCGAACTGGGAACTGGCTCAGGCCCTCCAAACACTAACGAAGCAGCATAGTTGGACAACATAATTTCTGGTTGGATAGTTTTGTTAAAAAAAGGGTATATCCAATAGTGTTTGATTTCTCAGCCCAGTCCTATCTCATTGGAGGGAAGAACTTAAATAGGTTGACCCCCCCCCTTACCAGCCTAAATGCTCCTTTCATTTTATTTGGTTTTACCTTTCTTTCAGAGGGAAGGGGGCTGATATGCAGGATAGTAAAAATGAGTTGGGAACATTATCACAATTCCAGACTTTCTGTTACAGTGATGTGTTTTAATAAATGTTTGGAATTATTTGTGACTTTAAATAACCCTGACCAGTGCTTCCTTGTGTGTAATATGTGGGGCCATCCTCTGAAATTTGAAGTGTATCATTGGTGTTGACTCTGTTTCTAAATGTTCTTTATCACATGGTGCGTGAGTGACACTCCAGATAGTCCACTGACATCCAGCTGCTACATCACTATAGACAGCTCCCTGCTGTGACCTGCCTTTTGAGCACTCAGTGATCCTAGGTCGCACTGAAGACTGTACAGAAAGAACACACTTATCATAAGGGTCCATCGTTAGCGTGAGCCAAATCTAGTCAAATGTGAAATTGAGAAATGACTCATTCTTTGCTAATGCTCCATTGTTTCCTTTAAAAAAAAAATAAAAGTTTGTCATCTGACAAAACTGTTCTGAGTTAAGACTCATCTCCCCTCTCATCTAAATCTGGACTCAGCCAGCATAGTAACTGACAGCCGTTTGAAACTGTTTTGGATCAAGAAAGATTATTTAAAAATTAAACGTTTTCAGTGTGTCTAAACTAAGGATGGATCTGTTTAGAGCTTGTTTTACATGAAATGATTAATAACCAGTGTCAGCTGCACAGTTCAAAGCTCCCAATACAGGTGAAATTACAGGTCGTGTCGCTGGCAAGGTGAGTGATGTCATCAGGCTATAATCTAACATGTAACTCAAGGGGGTCACTGAAAAACCCCATGGTGAGGCATGGCACTTAACTGCCAAGATGGAAAGTGTAATCTAGCTCTGTTAGACAATTTCCTTCCAACCTAGGGTTTGTGAGTGTGGAATTATAATTTGCCAAGACATGAACCAAAGAGAAACTGAACAGCCTGTGAGACATGACAGGAATATGAACCCTAGAACACACTGAAAATCATAAACACTAACAGTCTGTAGAAAAGCCTGCTCTGACTCAGTGAGGTTCATATATGAGAAGCTGAAGTGATGGCTTAGCGGTTAAGAGTACTTGTTGTTGTTGCAGAGGGTCTGCATTTGGTTCCCAGCACCCACACGGCAGCTCACAACCTTCTGTATGTAACTTCAGTGCCAGGGATTCTGAAACCATTTTCTGGCACCAGACATGCACACGGTACACATATATGAATATGGGCAACATAATAAACATGATAAACCTTTGTATCTAAGCTTTCCTACATTTTATTCTTAATACCCTTTTTAAACAATATTTCTTCTCCCCGCCCCCCAAGACAAGAGTTTCTCTGTGTAGCTTTGGATCCTGTCCTGGAACTTGCTCTATAGACCAGGCTGGCCTCAAATTCACAGAGATCTGTTTGCATCAGCCTCCCAAGTGCTGGGATTAAAGGCATGCACCACCACCGCCTGGCTACAATATTTCACTTTTTAAAGAAGGGAAGGAATGATCTTGTTAACATACAATTCATTAAAATGCATAGGTAGGATATTTTAGAAATAAGTTTGAATAGCAGTGTGATATATTGGGCTTTTTAGTGTGCATGTACATGAGGACATCGAAGGACAACTTAGAGAACCAGTTTCCTTCCATGAGTTACAGGAATAGATTGGACTTAGGTTGGTTGCCAAGCTTGCATGGTGAGTACAAACAGTAACAAGTAGCACTTATGTGTTAGGGGCAAAAATAGAGATTCAGGGTTGGTGAGATGGCTCTGGCCAAGCCTTGGGACCTGATCCCCGGAACCCACATTTTAGAAGAAATCAATCTGCATGTTCTCTAGTCTCCATATGTATGCCATTAACATGTTTAAGAAGGTACAGAGTTAATTAGTGAGTCATGTGATTGGGTAGGTTTGTGATATATTATTTATGATTTATTAAACCTTGCCTGAGGATTCAGAAAGAAGTCAGCCACAAGTCAGAGAAGCCAGGCATACACCTTTAATCCCAGAAGCTAGATGGTGGTAGTACACACCTTTAATCCTAGGACTCAGGCTTAAGAGGTAGAAGGATCTCTGTGAGTTCAAGGCCACCCAGGTTTACAGGAGATTGAATCAATCTAAAAATGTAACAGATCACATGCCTTTAATCCCAGCACTAGAGGGGTATAAAAGATAGAAGCAGTTAGTTACTAGGAGGCATGTGGCGTTCATTCTGCAGCCACATTGAGGAGAGGCAGCACTTTGAGACTTGGTGAAGAGCTGGTGCATAGAACAGCCCTTTCAGCCTGAGCTAGATATGAGGGCTAGTGGCTGGCTGCTTTTCTTCCCTGATCTTTAGGTTGAACCTCAATATCTGTCTCTGGATCTTTTATTTATTTATTTATTTATTACAGGTAGGAGCATTTTCTTCTTTTGTAACCATCCAAGTGATACTATTTCAGGAATCATTTTTTATCTGATGAGTTTTGCCTGCTTGCTGTATCTGTTTAGCACATGCTTGCAGTGCCCTTGGAGGCCAGCAGAGGGTAATGGATCCTCTGTGGCGAGTTACAGACTATCAGCAGTCATGTGGGTGCTGGGAACTGAGCCCAGGTCCTCTGGAAGAGCAACCAGTACTCTTAACCCCTAAGCCATCTTTCCACTCCCAGGTAGGGTCATTTTCTAGGAAACATGGCTGTGTTAATGAAGACTCTCAAAGTGTATTGGAGGGTGCAGATATTAATTTATTAACTATTTCAGAATGTCAGAATTTCTGAAGATAAAATTAGCCTTTTACCAGTACATTTTTTTTTTTCCTCTTGGAGATAGGGTTTCTCTGTGTAACAGCCCTAGCTGACCTAGAATTTGGTCTGTAGCCCAGGGTAGCCTTAAACTTACAGAGATCTGTCTGTCTATGCGCGCTTCTCCCCTCCCAAGTGCTGGGATTAGAGGTGTGCACTACCAAGTCCAGTTTATATTTGCTTTCTTTTTTCTTTTGTGTTTTTTTTTTTTTTTGAGACAGGGTTTCTTTGTGTAGCTTTGGAGCCTGTCCTGGAACTTGCTATGTAGACCAAGCTGGCCTTGAATTCAGAGATCCATCTGTCTCTGCCTACCGAGTGCTTGTAAACATTACCTGGTTAATAAATGTCATATAACAAGCTTGTGAAGTAATTCAGTTGGTAGGGTCTTGACCAGCATTCATGAGTCAAGGGTTCAACCTTGAAAAGGCAAAGGGATGTTTAAAATTTGTTCTGCCTGTTGCTGTTATTGTATACAAAATTGGGTAGTTGGTACTTTTTCAACAGCTTAGAAATGAAGATGGAAAATGTCCTCTATAAGAGCAGTCTGCACTCTTAACCATCTCTATAGCCCCACAAAGTTTGAGAAAGGTGAATTAAATGAAAATTAGACATTTAACCGTCATCTCAGCATTTGGGCATTGTAGACAGAAGAATCAGAAATGAAAGATCATCTCCAGGTATAAAGCAAGGTTAGTCTATGTGACCCTAGGGCTACATGTGACCCTTTCTCAAAGATAAAAATATATATTGCTGGGCGTAGTGGTATATGCCTTTAAAACCAGGAGGCAGAAACAGGCAGATCTTTATGAGTTTGAAACTAGCTTGAGCTACGTGGTGAGACCCTGTCTCAAATAACAACATCAAAAATCCACTACCCCTGCCTATAACTGACATGAGCTGTAGCAAAGAAAACACGAAATACACTGTTTTTATGCCAGCGGCATTGTAATGAATAATACAGATTTATTTTTGACAAATTTTGCTGTAGTTATTTCCGTATTAACTGATTCTGGAAGCTTTAGGTATAATCGGTACTTTTCAGAGACCTCAATCAATAAATCAACCTAAAAATAAAAACAAAAATAGATTTTAAAATCATGAGACAATTGCATCCTAAAGGTTATGCTCAGAGACTACTACATTCACTTATATGAAAACCTAGGAGGACTTGCAACAAGCAATAAAATTGCTGTTGTGGATTTTTTTTTCTTTCTTTTTTTTTTTTTTTTTTTTTTTTGTTTTGTTTTGTTTTGAGACAGGATTTCTCTATGTAGCTTTGGAGCCTGTCCTGGAACTTGATTTGTAGACCAGGCTCACAGAGATCCACCTGCCTCTGTCACCCAAGTGCTGAGATTAAAGGTGTGTGTCACCATCACCCTGCAATGTTTGGATCTTTAAGACTTTGATTACTAACAAGGCACATCAAATGTTAACTGATGACAGTATCAGAAGTAGAGTGTTGCCATCTGAGCATTGTGTTGCTGTTTTCTGGATATACCAAGGAAACATACTGGGGCCTAAAAGACAGTAGTAATCCATGTTTCATAGTGATAATGCCCTTGGTGAACCTAGCCTGATAATATTGAAGGCAATAAATTATATCCAGCTAATTTGTGCCTTTAGAAGTGGGAAATAGAATGTTATCAATGTGTGCTTCTTATTGGGTACATTTCATAAGGTATTACAAAGAGGAAGTGAGTATAGACAATAACTAGTTTATATGCAGCCACCAAATTCTAAGACTTGAAGGCTGAAAATTGAATAGAATTAATTCCGAAAAAATAAAATTAAAAAATTTCCATTAGCTACAATGGCAGACTGAGACAAAGGTTAAGAGGCACTTGTTAAAAACCTCTGAGTAGGTTAAGGAGAATGTCAGTCAATCCTTGTATTTGGCTAAGATGGCAGCAATTCCGTTTAAAGACATGAAGGTGCAAAGATGGAATGTGTCATTTTAATGTATCAGCCTAAAAATTTAAAAATAAAAAATAAAGTTTAGGGCTGTGGTGGTGCATGACATTAATTCCAGCAAGCATTTAGGAGGCAGGGACATACAGATCTCTCTGAGTTCGAGCCTAGCCTGGTCTACTGGACAAATTCCAGGACAGCCTCCAAAGTTACAGAAAAATCCTGTCTTGAAAAACCAAGGGGGCGGGGGCGGAGAAGCTAGTCTTGGGAAAGAATTGTGGACAAAGCAACGACTACAATCAAAGAAACAGTTACAATGGGCTAAAAGGAACTGCCTTCAAATTCTAAAGTATTGTTCTGGCCCTCAGTATTCCATCAGTAGTTAACCCACCAAGAAAGATGCTAAGTACTCAAGAATGACATATTCTATGGTATTACACACACACACACACACACACACACACAGAGAGAGAGAGAGAGAGAGAGACAGACAGACAGACACACACACACACACACACACACACACACACACACACACACACCGGGGATGCTCCCCCAAATGGAGCTTAAGATTGGCCAAACAATGAAGTAGGAAGGTAGGTAGTCAAGGGACCTTCCATCCTCCACTGCCATGCACAGCCTTTTACAGGAATTGCATTCTAGAATTTGCTGCTCCCCAGGAACTAGACTTTTGGGGTCATTTCTGATGTGAGGTTTTTCTATAGTTGCTCTCTCACCATAAAGTGGGCCAGGTTCACAGTAGATTGCTTATCTTGACATGTCTTTGGTTTGGTTTAAAAGGAGAACACAGGTCAAGTCACACGCCTTTAATCCCAGCATTTGGCAGGAAGAGGCAGGAGGATCTCTGTGTGGCACTAGATGTCTTGGAATTTACTATGTAGACCAGGCTGGCCTCAAAATCACAGTGATCTGACTACATCTAAATGCTGGGATTAAAGGTATGTACAATTATGCCTGGCTATAGTTGGATACTAACTGTTCCCCAAAGCTCTGTTTCCCCCACTATTGGGAGGTGCTGGGGCCTTTTGAATGTGGGACTTGGTATAAAGTCATGCAGACTCTATACCATTGGACTGTGGAACCCTGGACCTTTCCTTTCTCTCCCTGGCCTTGAGTAAAGGGTAGTTTTGCTTTGTCATGTATTCTTGTCACAGTGGGCTTGATACTTCCAACACAGCTCTGAAAACAGTTATCTAAACAAGGCTGGAAGCTCTGAGATCAGGATCTAACCAATCTTTTCTCTTTAAAGTTACCTCACGTGTTTGTTAGAGTTTTGCCAAGTTGACGCACAATTAAATTTCCACAGCACTTACATGTTATTCAACAGTAGGCGTAACCTAGAATACATGGAGGAGGTGCCAATGTTATTTTCAAACAATAAAAAACCAGCCATCAGTGGATCTTCTTATCTGTAGGAGTTCCTGCAAACGACCCCCAAGACACACCACAGGACTACCCCAGCATCTGTTTAACCTACCTCTGAAACACTAAGCTCACAGAGAGATGCTGAGTTAATTCCGGGTAATTCGATTTTCACTTCAACTCTCAGAGGTTTCTCATTCTGATCCTTTACAACCTTTAATTCATAAGCTGGTTCCTTAACCTCCGCCCGGATGTCTGAACTAGAAACCTCCTCTATGAGACGTCGTCCTTTGCCCGACGACTCATGCACTTTTGTCAGCAGCATGTGAGGAAGGTGATCTGACTCACTCTCAGTATGGCTTCTGATGTTGTCAAGAGTGTCTTCTTCATGGGAAAAGAGGGAGGGGAGGTACAAAACACTGTCACCTTGTGAACATTCAGACAGATGGTGTCCAGAGATGGCTGATAACGCTGAGATTAAATTAGTTTGGAAATTTAGTTCTGACACATCTGAAGCAGAGCTGGGCATGCATGCAGCTCAGTGGGAGTTGCTTGGCATGTGAAGCTCTGGCGGGATTTGATTCTGGCACAGCTAAACAGACCCACAATACCCAGAACCTCAAGCCAAATAATTTGCTTGGAAATTCTGTGAGATTTTGACATCTTTCTGGATACACTGACACTTTTAATAATTTAAGTTTCTCATTCTTTTAAGAAGCTTCTGGTCTGGGAAATATACAGGGGTTACAAAAACAAAATCTGATATCAGTTTATTTTCAGTTCACATTCATCCACTTACCTGTTCTCATTATCTCTTTGAAGCCTGTGAAGCCAGTTTTAATGCCCATCAGATTTTCTTTCATTCTCTGAATGCTTCCTTTTATTTTAAAACTAGTAACATGGTATGAATGTGCCAGTGTGAACTGGAATCGCTCCTCAATGCAATGCATGGCCATTTTTATTAACTGATCTTTGATCCTTTGGTCTTTTTCTGTTGCTTGCAGAACACAAGGATTGTAGGCAACATCAATGACTGTATATGAACCTGTGTGTAATTCAGAAGAGAGTTTGTTTCTATAAGGATTTTTGTCAGGGAGTATACAAACCCGTATTAGTAAAGTCAGAAAGTACAAAATTCCATCCCTGTGTTTTTAGAGCAACCACAGCAGCACTGTTAAACCAGCAGTGGCTGGTCCAGAAAGGAGGCTGACACAAACTTACCTGCAGAAGAAATACAGTTTAGTAGGGGGAAAGGGACTTTGGATTGAGATGAGAGGAAAAGCTTAGACAAGAGTAATGCAGTAGATGGAGATCTAAGCATGATGGGGCCTTAAAGGGAACTACTGGTTCCCCTTTAAAGCTTGCAGAGGAGCATCATGGGATGAGAATGGGAGGCAGTGTGGGAGAAAGCTGGCTGCAGTAAGAGAGATGGGGGCAGGGTAAGTGGTTCTTCAGAGAGCAGCTGCAGTGTACTTCCATGAGCAAAATCCTCTTGAGGACCAATATGAAGAACAAAAGAAAAAGCTGACTTCATAACCTTTTTGAAATGGCACTCCTGCATGATCAGAGAAGCCACATTCTTGTCACTCTCTCCAAACACCACTTAAAGAGCCGCTGAACAAATGAAAGGCACTAAAAAGCCCCGATCTGCATTCTTGGTGGCTACTTCAGCTTCCATCCCTGAGTTGCCAGCTGCCCAAGTCCTCACCCCAGCATTCAGCTTTTGGCCATACTTGGGCACAAACCCAACTTGTGGCAGTCATGTCATCACCCCTCACCTATATCCCATAAAATCTCCCTGTTTATGGTTACAGCTTCTCCAGCCTTTGATCTCTGGGCTTGGAGAACCTGCCTAGGGGTTGCTTTACTCAAGTAAACTTGTTGTGTTTTTTTCAGTGAGGTTTGATTTGGCTTACTACTTCAGCAGAGAAACCTATTATGGGGTTGGGGGTGGGGAGAAAAGCTATTGAGTTTCACACCACATAATTTACTTCAGTCAAATAATTTATTTCCAAGACAGTCAAAAGCTGTCAAGTTACAGAACAGACTGATTATTATTTTTATTTTATGTTTTACCTGCATGTATGTCTGTGTAAAGTTTCAGATCCCTTGGAACTGGAGTTATAGACAATTGTGAGCAGTCATGTAGGTGCTGGTAATTGATCTCAGGACCTTTAGAAGTGCATCCAATGCTCTTAACTGCTGAACCATCGCTCCAGCCCCCACAGACTGATTCTTAGCTGTATCAGAGAGAGCTACAGGGAGACAAGGCCTGATTCAGGCTGCAGGATCTGGCCTGTAGATGCAGGTCCCTGTTCTAACACATCATATATACTAAATTCCAATTCTATGTTGGCATTTCTATGTGGGTTGAAATCAGATCATATTATTAGAAATCATATTAAATGTGCATAAAGTACACTCATTTTTTTTATTAATATATTAACACCAAATGAAATAATGTACTTAAAATGTTTTATGAAGTAAAATCTGGGCTATGAATATGTTCATAAAAAATTTGTGCATGCATTCTTTAATTCTTTATACCTGATGCCTCAGAGAAATCCTCTGGTCTGCCAACACTTACAGGTACAGGATGAGTGGCTGACTGAGGAGCTGCGATCCTTTTCCATTGACATAGGTTGATAAAAAGTATTTTTTCTTTTGGTTTCTAGAAAGCGAATAATCTTGATATTGTCAAACAGTTTTTTTTTTAAGTAAAATTGATAATATCCTGAATGCAAGTCATCACATTTTTTTTTCAGGCTTTCCCATAAGCTGGACAACTGTCCTTGCAATGCACTCTCTTGAACACACACATAAAATGTAATGAAATTATTTTTAAAAACTTAATTCATTATATCACTATTTTTCTACCTAACAGGGCAATAAGGCCTCATTTTGGTATTTCTGAAATACCAAGTATGAATTTCTCATTTTTACTCCTTCAGTGAAATCTTCCACACAGTTTCATTTTCTGTTTAGAGAGGCAATTTTAATAAACTTCTCTTGTGTTAAAGTAGCAATAGAGAAAGGCAAGGCATCCTCTAGTTATCCTGGAGTAGTTTCATTGAACAGTGAACACCTATCATCCAATGCACCAACTCTACATACTAGGATCTTGGTCTGCAGGCAGAGCTGTGGTTCTGGGTCCACATAGAGCTGTTTTCCATCTTTCAGCTCCTGCTCAATGAAGTTCTTGTACCGCTCAGGATCGTTTTCAGCCAAGTCATCCAGCATATTCCAGAACTGAGAAATCTGGGTGAGAAGACCCTTTGAGGATGCCTTCATGATTGGTGAGGAGATAGACCTCCAGAACCTGTGGAAAGACATGACTTGAGAAAAGACATGCCTGTGTGGCTATGGCCATACTTCCTCTTTCAGGGGAGGAGGAAGGCTTTTGGAATTGTTTTGGGGAAGTTCTTTACTGTTCTTGCTTCCTATGCCTAAACGATTGTGCAACCACTCTGCTTTACCTTGGTTCTTCTACAGCTTGTAAGTCTAATCACTTCCTAAATTCCCACCTTGTACCTCTATCTGTCTCTGGCCTTCACAAACACAGTGGGAGCAGAAACATCTTTTTAAGTGTTGTTTTTCCTAGTGATATTGTTCCAATAGTTGGATATTGGCTGACCTGGTGTCTCCCAGTCCTGAAATTATGAGGTGTGTGTGTGTGTGTGTGTGTGTGTGTGTGTGTGTGTGTGTGTGTAGGAGAGAGGGGGAGGGTGGAGAGAAAGAAAGAAACACATAAAGCTACATTAGTCCTCAGTATAGTAATTAAAAGTAAGAACATTGGTACACACCTTTCATGCCAGCATTTGGGAGGCAGAGGCAGGTGGATCTGCGTACGTTCCAGGCCAGCCTGGTCTACAGAGCGAGTTCCAGTACAGCAAGAGTTACATATTTCGACCTTGTTTCAAAAAACTGGGGGTGGGGGTGTGAGGTGTGGGGGTCACTGGAGCCAGTATGCTTAAGTTCTTCCTAACTCCAGGCAGCTATGTTGCCTTGAGCAAATAATGTACATATACACACATTCTCCTCAAAATGACGATGAGGATTAAGAACGCCAAAACTTAAACCTAGAACACTTGATAAATAACTATGTATGTGTAGTATTCTAAGATCGTATCATCACTCTCCTGCAACGGAGAAGTGTCCCAAATGGTCCACAAAAGTATCAAAAAGAGATCTGGAGTCTTTAAAGCGTGTATTAAGATTAGATTTAATAAACAACGAATACACAGCTTATCCCAAAGCGGGGAAACCCACCTCTTCACTCAGCGTGGAGACAAACCGTGACTCCCGTTACCATGGTAACCACTCCCCGGTACAGCATCTAACAGTGTCCGGGGAGTGCAAGGTAGAGCAGAGTCTCCACCTGCCGTTCCGGGAACTTTTCTCCAGTGTCGGACTGACTCCTCAGGGGGGCCGTCCCGCTTCCCTCTCAGGAGAGTGCCGGCTTCCTTCCTACACCTGTCAGCTTCCCCCGCGACCCGCGAGCCGGTCAGTGGGAGTCTCCCGTGGGAAGGAAGAGTTTCTCCGGGGCACGACTTCCGGCCCGGAAGGAAGCCGCCGCCTTTTCTCCCACCCCGCCACGCGAAGCTGCGGCGCACGGTATGGGTGTGTTTGTGTGTGTTTGTGTGGGGAGGGCGTTTGGAGGGAAGGCAGCCGGGGGCGCCGAGGCCGCGGCGGGGCAGGGAGCCCGCTGACAGACATGGGCGCGCTTTCTCCGACTTCCTCTTGGGAACCTCCAGCTCCCCCCCAGGCACCCTAGACACTTCCCGGGTCCCAACGGAAGGCCGTACCCACGCCCCGCGTCCCCACTCTGTCCCGGGAGTGAAACCGAGCCGCGGGGCGCTGTCCCAGCCCAGAGAGCGGGGAATGCCCGGGCCCGCCCGCAGGCCGCGTTCCGCGCCTGCGCCTGCGCCCGCTCTGGCCTGGGTCCCGGAGAGAGAGCCGCCTGGCGGGCTTGGCTGGGGGAAGGCAGCCGTGGCCTGGGCCTCGGGTGAGGAGGGCACTGTAACCGGTGGGAAGGCTGCGTTTTCACGAAGGACTCGGGTGAAGCTGCAGAGCTGCCTTTCAGCCCTGACTCCTTGGCTTCCTGGGTCGGAGGAGATCTTGTAATGGAGTGGTTCTTCGTCTCACACTAACAAGATGCCTGATTTCCTCAGGATCGAGGGGTGAGTGAGCATCCGGACGGTGGCACCAAGCCCATCGTAGCTACACATGTGAATATCGTTGTCTTCTGGGTTTTGGAAAGTTCCAAACGTTGTAGGAAACAAAATGTCCTGAATAGAGATATTTAGGTCATTTAAACAATTTTTTTTTAGGACTCAGTTTTTATTACTGTTGACATATGTGGTGTTGATTGATACCCGCAAATTCAGATGTTTACTCAGTTGCAAACTAATTTTGGAGAGTTTGAGATTTGATTTCTAACCTGGATACTGACATACATCCTTTGCCTGGGTATATTCGTCCTGGGGCCGGAGTTGTGACTTAAAGGATCTTGACTTTAAAAATGGGAGTGGGGAATAGAATCCAAACTTGGGGATCCCTACAGTTTCAAACAACAGCCAACTGAAAATGTTTGGGAAATCAGATTGCATCTGTACTTACCGTGTACAGACCTCCCCCAACCTTTGTCATTATTTTTAACCCGCATAGTAATATTTTTACATATGAATGGCATAGTTTTAGGTGTTATAAGTAATCTGAAATACCCCCACCCACCCTAAGTGTGGAAGTGCATGCATGTTGTTTCTGAATGTGGGAGGTGGGGGCAAGAGGATCAATCAGGATAAAGGCTAGCTGAGACTATGTGAGACCCTGTCTCAATAAAGAGTCATAATTTAAAACACACCGGAGTGTAGTTTATCTGAAAATACTATCCTATTCTAAATGAGAGATGGGTACCCTAGAATTATTTTGTGTGTGTGCATGTGTATGTTACTGGGGGACTGAATCTGGGTTGGCTCTTGGGCTAGGGAAATTCTCTTACCACTGAACTATATTCCCCGCCCACACTTGGATTTTGTTACCTTTAGGGGCGCTGGAACCAATCCCCCAAGGATCTTAAGAGACCACTTGACTTTTAAAACAGAGAATTGTGAGGACTAAATAAAACGGTGCTCATAGGAGCAATTTTGAGCAGCCTTCTGCAATTTTAAGGACTTTTTACTGTACACATCCTCTTCATATGTTCACTGTAGTTATGCATCCTAATGGTGAAAGGAAAATTCTCCCTTAGGTTCTTTGTCTTCTAAGTTCAGTGATTCCCCCTCTTTTCCTTTTGTTTCTTTATAATGTAATAAAAATAAATTTATTACATATTATTGGTTCATTTCAGATTAAAGAATGTCACGGGTTCCATTGGGGAAAGTCCTCCTGAGGAATGTCATCCGGCATACAGATGCTCACAATAAGGTAGGCAATACAATCTAGTCACATTTCTTGAAGGCATACAGTAAACTATGATTCATGTTGGGAGAGAGCGAAGATGTATGAGAAAAGAATCGAAGTTCGGAAAGTACTATATCATGAAGATAGTTACAAAACATTTTAGAGCACCAAGGAAGGAATAAAGAAATCTGCTTTGGAAAATTAGAAAGATTTCACAGAATGAATGTTATTTGAGTTGCTGATATTTGAACTGGTTCTCAATAAATAAAGTTTACTAGATGCATTATTTTTGACTGAGATCATCATGCACTGATACAAGGCAAAATAATGGGGTTGGTGATGTATCTTATTGGTAATGCCTCATATGTGCAAAGTCCTTCATTCCATTCCCACCCCTCAAGCATTAATCACTTTGGGGAAAAATTATTTGCATCTAGAAAATATTAAGATACAGGGATAGTGAACCAGGTTTGATAGTGCATGCCTATAATCCCAGCACTTAGGAGACAGAGACTCCTAAGAAAATTTGCTTAAGTACATGGCTTGCCTGTTCTATGTGGCAAGAAGCAGAAAACAAACAAACAAACATACAGGGACTGGAAAGATGGCTGCTTTCCCAGAGCATCTGGGTTTGATTCTCAGCTATCTGTAATTGTAGTTCCAGGGAATCTGACACCCTCTTCTGGCCTCATGGAGTACAGACAAAACATTCACTCACATAATGTAATGTTAAAAAGCAAAATGGGGTGGGAAGATGGCACAGGTAAAAGCATTTGCTATGTAAGCCTGATCACCAGAATTAGATCTCCAGAACCCATCTGGAAAGCCAGATGCAGTGTTTTAAGTATGTAATGTCGGTAGAGATGTAAGAATTGGCCAGAAGCTGAGGGCCAGCTAGTCTGAAGTACATAGTGTAGCAGCAAAAAAACGAGAGAGACCCTGACTCAATAAGTGTAAGTGAAGGTCAGGAACTGACTTATAAAACTTACCTCTGACCTCCACATGTGTGCCCTTTCTCTCTCTCTCTCTCGCTCTCTGACTCTTACACAAAGTAAACACAAATTTATATCTATCTACCTATCTGCATCCATTCTGTTTTCCTAATATAAAAAGACACCATACCTAGGGGATTTACACACCTGTTCCTATTGGATGTTGCACACAGGCATATAATCTCATCCATCCAGGAGACCAAGGCTAGGTTGGAGGGTCACAAATTGAAGGCCTGCCTAAGTTAATTTAGATTTTGCAACAACAAAAAAAATAACCTACCACCAACAAGAGTAATAAATAAAACAAAAAGAGGCAGGGCTTGGGGAGGGGTACCAGGCTAGTGGTAGAGTATATGTGTGTACATCACCGAGAAAAACAAAACTAAGAAAACGTGTGTTTAACCAGGCAGTGGTGGCATACTCAGCACTTGGGAGGCAGAGGCAGGTGAATCTCTGAGCTCAAGTCCAGCCTGGTCTATATAGATCGAGTTCCAGGACAGCCAAGGCTACAAACAGAATCCTGGTCTTGGGGGGGGAAAAAAAAAAAAGAAGAAGCCAAAAAGAATACCTAATTATTCTAATTATTAAAAAAAAAAAAAAAAAAAAAAAAAAAAAAAACCAAAAAACAATTTTGGTAAGGTCCCTGAGCTTGTGCTGCTGCTTTGTGAAATACTCTAATGGTTCCTGCTTTACTTTCCTATAGGGTCACTTGCTGTTGAATTAAGATGTTGTGATTATGTTGCATCTCAGAAACATGTGGGGCTGTTACTTTCTGATTGATAAGGTTTATATTTACTGTACTGGACTGTTTAGTCATCTTATAAACTCCTTAGAGAAACCAGAATTTATTTCCAGATCATAGCCAAATCGTTAAGGCAGATTGTACTTTCAGCTAGTTCCTTTTCTGTAATGCAAAGTGCTATTTTTTTAGTGACTTATTTTTGTTTCTTTCCTTTTGAAAATGTCTAGATTCAGGAGGAATCTGACATGTGGAAAATTAGAGAACTAGAAAAGCAAATGGAGGATGCTTACCAGGGGACAAGAAGGAACACGGTACCCAGCAGCTCAAGGTGAAGCGTGCCTTTGAGAACCAAAAATAACTTATTTTTTTCAGAATTGCTAACTTTAGCATTAAAACATTCTAGTATGTTAAGGGTAGATGAATTCAGTTCAGCAAATCATTAAGCCTTCCTTGTTTCCTAAATTTAGGTCCAAGCCTAACAATAATGGCTGTGATACCATGACTAGACTGTACTAGTTTGCCTTGCCTTCCTTTCCCTTCTTTTCCCTTTTTTTTCCCTTCCCCTCCCTTCCCCTCCCCTCCCCTCTCCTCCCCTTCCTTCCCTTCTCTTCTTTTTGACCCCCTCTTTCTCCTGCATCCCCTCCCCTCCCCTCCCCTCTCCTCTCCTCCCCTCCTCTTTCTTTCTGACTGGGTTTCTCTATATATATCCCTGGCTGTCCTGGAACTCTCTCTTGTAGACCAGGCTAGCTTTGAACTCAGCGATCTGCCTGTCTATGATTTCCAAGTTCTGGGATTAAAGGCGTGAGCACCACTGCCCAGCTGTGCTTTTGACTTTTCAAGACAGGGTTTCTCTGAGTAGCCTTGGCTATTCTAGAACTTACTCTATAGATCAGGCTGGCCTTGAACTCAAGAGATCCGCCTGCCTCTGCCTTCGGAGTACTGGGATTAAACACATGCAGCACCACCACCTGGTTTTCTATACTAATTTTCAGTGGGGAATTCAGAAATTCTCCTTGGATTACTGTAAATGTTTAGGTTTTATGGATTCCAACCTTGTCTAATAGCTTTTAAGATTTTTTTTTACTAGAGTGTCTATTTCTTTGTTCTTTCATCTTATAAAATTACATTATTTGCTAGGTATGGTACCTCATGGCTTTAATTCTAGCACTCAGAAGGCAGAGGCAGATAGATCTCTTTGAGTTTGAGGGCAACCTGGTGTACATCCAGACCAGCCAAGACTACAAAGAGAGACCTTGTCTCAAAAAAACAAAAACAATTTTATTTATTGTGTTGGCAACTTCGTGCATGATGTGTGAGTATATATGGATGTGCCAAAGTGCACACATGGAACTCAGGGCACACCTTACTAGTGTGGGTTCTGGGAATAGAACTCAGGTCATTTGGCTTTCCAGGCAAGCACCTTTAGCTACTTAGCCCTCTAGCCATCCCTGGAGTTTTATACTTAATTCAGTCAGTCATACTGTTTCCTTTTGTCTTTCTAATAGACCTTTTTAGAAAAGTAATTATTTATTATGTGTCTCCGTGTCTGCAGGGGACAGAAGCATTAGATGCCCTGAAGTTGGAGTAAATAGGCAGCTGTGAGCTCCTGACATGGGTGCTGGGATTTGAACTAACATCCTCTGCAAGAGCAACAAGTGTTCTTAACCACTGAGCCAACTCTTTATAAAAGCCACATTTACTCACTCTCTTCACCAGGTCAATAGGCTTTCATATTTCCTTTGTAATAATTTGGGTGTGGCCGGGTATGGTGGCACACCTTTAATCCCAGCACTCGGGAAGCAGAGGCAATTGGATCTCTGAATTCAAGGCCAGCCTGGTGTACACAGAGAAATCCTGAAAAAAAAAAAAAAAAAAAAAAAAAAATTGAGTGTGAATATAAAGGGAGTTGTAGGATGTATGAAGTTAGGAACATTTCTGGTGTCTCATGTGCCCTTAAGTACAGGAAGTAGGTAGGTAAGATAGGTCATAACCTAGTTTCTAAAGCTACCTAGAGAAATCATTAGAAGAAAAAAGAATTGCAAGGGAGTGTGTCCATGGAGTATGTCGTCTATGATGTATTACTGGCTGAGTATGACTGGTATCGATGTTATGTGGTGGAAAGCTAGTGTCTTAGCATGTTCCATGAGTTTTGTTTATAATGTTCCATAAAGTGGCATCACAGATTGCTTTTAAATCTAAAGGTTTTTCTTTTTTCATTTATAGTCGGATGAGAAGTGATGGTTTTGATGAAGAAAGTCAGAGAGACTACTGGAGGCCAAAGAATGAAATTTCTGGGGCCCTAGATGATGATTTTCTTAAGGCTAAATCCTGGAACAAGAAGTTATATGATTATGAATCCAACATGCCAGACAGGTTTGTGACTACATTCTTATGACCCCTAGTGATATTTGACCCGAGAATATGTATTTTTTTAAATTGTCCTAGGGTTGGAATGGCTCAGCGGTTAAGACCACTTGCTGCTCTGCAGGGGACCCATGTTTGGTTCCCAATGCCTAAAAGGCAATTTACAATTGATGAATGCATAAACAGAATGTAGCCTTTCCATATAGTGGAACAGTACTTAGTGGTAAAAGGGATAAGTACTAATTCTACATGCATAATGTTGAAAACTTTACAAATGGTGAAAGAAGTCCATGCTCTGTGATTCTGTTATGTGGTGTGTCCAGAATGGATAATCCATAGAGACAGAAAGATTAATGGTTGCCTTGGGCTATAGGCTCTGCACTTTAAAAGGACATCTTTCTTGTCATGTGAATCACTTCTCAATAACTGTCTTTAGAAAGTCCCAGTGTAGGTAACATTGTAAAGTAGTTTGGGAAAAGGACTTCACCTCTGAAGAGAGTTACAACCTTTCAATGAACAGCATCCCGTGTCCAAGATAATAGAGTAGAAAGTAGAACTGCTACCAAGGTATTGTGTGGTTTTACTTTGCCCCTGTTTCCTTTGTTCCCTGTACATACAAAATCTAATTTGTTTTAATCTCCAAAAATGATACAAATTGCTTTGTAAAAATAAATGTATTATATTATTTTACAGATGGGGTCATAGTGGTTATAAAGAGTTGTATCCTGAAGAGTTTGAAACAGACAGGTAGGTAAAATACACTTACTAGAAAAATAAAACCAAACACCTAAGATCAAAATTGTGCCATAAGTAGAGTCCCTAATATTTACAAAAGGTTTATTTGCCATTGAAAATATAACTAGAACCAGGAATGGTAGTATATGGCTATAGTCCCAGCTGCTCAGAATCCTGAGGCAGGAGGATTGCTTGAGTCCAGCCTGGGACATAATGAAATCTTGTCTCTAAAACAAAGAAAACAAGCAGAATTTAGTTGGGAGGCAATCAGTCCTTATTTACCTTTTCTCTAAGGGCTTTAGAAACTAATTGTGCACTATCATCTGTAGTGAACATGTTCAAAGGTTCTTGAAACCTTGGATATTTTATATCATCTGTCCATCTGTTTCCCATATTCTGTTCCTTTCTTATACACACAATACCTTTTAAAATCTTTTTTTTTTTTTTTTTTTTTTTTTACCATATCCTAATTGTCAGCATCATGCTTGTGCTTTAGGGTTGTTGTTAAATAAGCTACACTAGATAGTGGATCTGATAACCCAGATGGCTAGTAAATGACCAAAGGGACTAGACACTAGACCACAGGAATGATTCAGGTCCTAGGTGGGACACATTGGAACTGTGAGGAATTTCATTCTGCTATTTAAAATTGACATGAAATTAAAATCTTACAAATTGTTTCTGGAATTGACCATAGGTGACAGGAATCAGAGAAAATGAAACTATGGATAAGGGAGCATAATGGTGTTTAGTATTTCATATGTAATTCAGCATAGTAGGAGTTTGTTTTTTTGGACTGGATTTTTCTATAGCTCAAGATGGCCTTGAACTTGACATGTAGCCAAGAATGACCTTGAACTCTCCTTCCCGTACCTTCTAAATTGGAATTACCAGTATATACTAGTATGGTTAGCTCAAATTAGGATTTTAAAGATGAGGAAGTAAAACATTGTGAGACTAAAAAAATAGAAACCTCATAGTACTACTATTTATTTTTTTTTCAGACAGTCTCTTTTTGTAGTCCTGGGGGCCTAGAACTTACTATGTATAGCAGGCTGTCCTTAAACTGGAAGATCTTCTTGCTTCTGCTTTCTGAGTACAAGGATTAAAGCTGTGCACCACCATACCCAGCTCAAAGTTCTGATTTAAAGTTTAGATGTTTCTGGGCAGTGGTGGCACACACCTTTAGTCCCAGCACTAGGGAGGCAGAAGCAGGCAGATCTCTGTGAGTTTGAGACCAGCCTGGTCTACAAGAGCTAGTTCTAGCACAGCCTCCAGAGCCTCAGAGAAACCCTGTCTCTAAAAACAAAAACAAACAAACAAACAAAAAAAGAGTTCACGTTACTTAGTGCAAATATTAAATATAAATATACATTTTCTTTCTCCCATAAAAGTTCTGTTCTTGCTTTTCCTTAGTAGTGACCAGCAAGACATTACTAATGGGGAAAAGCCATCTTCCCAGCTGAAAGCATCTGCCCAGGAACCCCGAAAACACAAGAAGTCAAAGAAATCCCATAAAAAGAAGCAGAAAAAACGGTCCCACAAAAAACAGAAGAAAAACAAAAAGGAAACTATGGACATAACAGCAGATTCCTCAAGTGAATTCTCAGAAGAAACTGGAGCTTCTAGTACCAGGAAAAGGAAGCAACCACACAAGAGCAAGAAAAAATCCAGGAAAAAGTCTAAAAAATCTGTATCTTGTGGAGGAGAAAGGGCTACTTCCCAGTCAGATGATTCAGCAGCTAGCAGTTCTGAAGAAATCGAGGAAAGAGACCCTAAGAAAACCAAACGGAAAAAGAAAGAGAAAAGTGTTCATGTTCCTGTGGCTAGCCCTGAAGTACAGGAGAGGACCAGCAAGCGCAGGAATTGGAAAGTGGCTACAGATGCAAGGTCCGCTGAAAGCTCAGAGGATGACTAAGTGGGAAAGTAGCAGTCTTGCTTCCCACGGACATTGGTTGTCTGCAGCTCTTAATAATGGGGCTTTGCCAGTGACTCCTTCAGCACAGGAGTCTGAGGTTGGAGGTCAGAGTTGTCCTGCCATAGATACCTTTTTCTCCTATTTTGGATTGTTGATCTCCATCCCCTTTTGTTGTTAATAGGGAATCTGGTATTTTGTTAAGAAGGTTTCTTGAAGAGATTATTTTTTGCAATTTAATCACTTAGGGTAGAATACCTATACAACAAATTAAAGAACCCAGAAAGCTGAAGTCAGTAATGATCTGGGTATACCGATTGGAATGTTGGATTGGGGAGAATCAAGGGTCTGGGATGAAGGAGGATTGAAATAGTGCTAGATAGAGTAGTTTGACAAGGAAGCAGTTGCTATTTATACAGGAGGTATCCTGGCTTCAGCTTTGGTGCTTTGATTCTTCTATATTTGGGCCCTACAGGTATCTCATTTATTTAGTGGGGAAATGGATGTAAGAACAAACCTTTTCCCTTCATAGTAAGATCCACAGAAGACTGCTAAGGAATGTAGGGTTTTCTGCCTAATTGCCCTGCTGGTCAGGGTCTGCAACTACATTTAGTATAACCCAAACAGTAACTGGATAGTAATTGGCTTTCTAGTTCCATTACTTTATATTGCCTAAAATGGGCTCGTGTTTGAAATTATTCAAATATTCAGTTGTCCTATCTATCAAATGGAAAGAATTAGGAAGTAGTCACGTTGCCAATGATGCTTTCAAAGAGATTCAGGGCAACAGCCATCTAAATGTCTTTTTTTTTTTTTTCCTTTTTACCAAGTTGGGGATTGAACCGAAGGCCTTGCATATACTAGGCAAGTGCTCTATCACTGAGCCATACCCCAGCCCTGTTGTTTTCCTTGTTCATTTCTAATTCTATTAATGAATTTTAGATTTTCCCTGAAACCAGTTGAATCAATTCCAAAATGAACCACACTTCTCAGGGACATACCCCCTTCTTCCCAGTCTGACTTTGTGTTATGGTTATCAAGAACATATTTCTCCCTGTTATACTGTGATCCTGATATTAGAAGAAACCAAAATACCACTGAAAAGTGGCTGGTAGAACAGTTAGGTGACTTTCCATTGAGAGGAAGGGTAAAGTGACATTGTCAGGGTTCTTGTTTTTGAGGTTGTCACTTTAGGTACTGAGTAGAAAGCACAAAAACTCATACCTAAGACTGTGTGTGGGTCATGGTTCTGCCACTAATTGATTTGAGTTCTAGAGCAGGTTAAGTTAACCTCCCTGGCCTTACTTTTTGCATGTGTAATACAAAAAAAAAAAAAAAAGATACTTCATGGTTAGCATGACAGACACCAGCAATAGAATACTACTATGCTGACATCCCATGAAGTGGTGTTTTATAGTTTTAACTAAATTTGTTATGGAACATACTTCTAATAAAGTGCTTGTTTTTAAAATACATAGTTGGCCAGATGTGCCCTAGCCCTTGATTATGAGCAGGTGCTACCTTTTGGGATATTGAAACACTATTAACTTTGGTACTCAAATGTCAATGTTCCATGGTATACTTTTTCCTTGGATTTAGTGGAGGTTTAATGGGAGGAGAGTCTAGTTACTACCTCATAACCTTCTTGAAGCAAGTGAAATCTTTGTTGGAAGTAGTTTTGGGCATGTATTTATAAAGCAGACTGATTTCTAAGCAGACTCAGGAAGATGGTCCTGCAGAATAAGGTACTTCCAAGAAGTTGGTTCTGTTTGGGTCTTGACCTTACTTTCCTCCCATACTAACAGGCTCCCCTCCCCCATCCCCCAAGGAATGCACATTTTGCCTGATTTTTTTTTTGTTGTTGTTCCCCCCCCCCACCCCACGACCACCTTGTTCATCTTTTCTTGGACATATAAGCAATAAAATTGTTTTCTAAACCTTTCTTACCCCAAATTCCCTTCCATGCCTTAGGCTAAGGCTTTGATGGTTCCTCTAATCCCTGAAATGACGGCTTAGGGTGGCTTTTCAAACCCTGTGATCTCCCATTTTCACTACCAGCCAAGGTTCTGTCATTCAGCGATCTTTATATTGATTCCTAAACTAGGACTAAGAAGAAAAAGAATTGGAGACTTCACATTTATTAACCGGTGTAATACAACCTGGAATTACTGAATTCCAATAAATAAAATTTCACTTTTAGACATTTGATCTGTTACTTTTTAGCACCAACAGACTTGGTAACTGCCTGATGCTATTCAACAGTTGACAACTCCACCAGCCATTCAATCGGCCTAGTAACAAGTCTTTTGGATCTTCTGTCATTCTGAGGTACGGCCTACTGCCCTCCTTTCTGTACGATCTGGGCAAACCGACCGGTGATAGCAAGAGTAGTGTCAATGAAGCGGTCCACACAGCTAGAGAGGCAGTTTTCAGTGCGGGAGTCTAGCCGACTTCCTGGCTTCTCCACACACTTATCCCAACATAGTTCCATGAAGTGATGCACCTACGAGGAGAGAAAACCTTAATCATTGGGATCTATAGACATTTCTTATTATGCGACTTGATAAAAACCACCTTTAATATATCATGCATGGGATCACTTTGTGTCTGTCTAGTCATCAGTAATTCCTCATTCTTGTACACAGTAAATTGTCATTAGAACTCATACATTCAGTTCTCTCATTTTTTCAAGACAGGTTTCTCTATGTAGCTCCGGCTGACCTGCAACTCAGCTCTGTAGACCAGGCTGGCTTTAAACTCAAGAGATGTGCCTGCCTGAGTGCTGGGATTAAAGGAGTGAGCCATCACTGTCTGCCCACAATTCTCAAAGCAACTAGCACTATTATAAAATAGTCAGGATACTAATTTCTCCAAACAAGGCATAGTTTGGGATTGTACCTATGGACACGTAGTGATATTTCTTGGGAAGCTAAGTACTAAACAATCAGTTCTTGAAAGGACAGTTAGCTATCAATATTTCCAAGGTCAGCAACGGTTAACACCCTGGTTTGAAATACGCCTGAAAACGCCAAACCCTGTCTCAACCGAGTCTACAAATACATTATCACATGATTCAGTGCAGAGGCGGCGGGGAACAACGAATCCAGAACTGAAGGTGGGGACGGGTGTCTTCCACACTGGCCCTTGAATCCCAAATTCGGGAACACAGATTCGAATACCATTCCGTACCAGTGGCCGGCTAATATGACCACCATGTTCTTCTATCGCCCAAACCTTCCCCCTGCTTTGCACCTCTTTCCTCCCACGCAGCACTAGCCTCCCGGACACTGAACACCGTAGGTCACCAGGGCGGGAGGAGCAGCCGGGATCCAGCATCGAGTCAGCCCTCTGTACCGCAGTGTCCAGACCTCCGCGGATGCTCAGGGTCTGCACTTCACCCTCCTTCCCTTGCTCCTCATCATCGTACCTGCGCAGTGAACTGCGCCTTCTGCTGCTCCGCGGCCACCAGGCGCTGTAACTCCGCTTCGTCTGCTTCACCAAGCTCGGCCATTGTCAGCGTGAGGTACTCCCGCTGGTATGCGCACGCGCGATAGCAGCGCCCCGCCTCCCGCCTTCCGGTTCACCATCCAGGTGGCGTTGCCCTTCTTTTACGCGGGGCGGGACTTGCTACATAACTACTTCCGGGTTGTTGAGTGACCTTGAGCGCTCTTAAGCGAGATGGCGGTTTTCTTAAAGCTGGGTGTCCTCTGCAGTGGCCAAGGAGGCCGAGGTGAGCTGTCTTGACTATCAGAGGTTCCTCTTGCGGCCTAGAGCAGGGAAAGAGAAGGAGTGAGGGCTCGACCACCGGGTGGTGGGACGTCATGGGAGGAAGGGACTTCCTCTTCGGCCCCGGAATCGCCTGCAAGGACGCAGCCCACACCGCTGTAGCCCAAAGGCCCAAGTGTTTACCTGGTGCCCGCTCTCCCCAGCTGGTACTTCCAGCCTCTGGGCTGCGGTGGTGATGCCGTGCTAATGTGAGTGTGGGGGTGGAAGGAGTCAGTTTGATAATCTTTTGAGACGGCGGCAGGCTAACCTGGAGCTTGGCGGGAGCCTCCCGACTGGTTCCCGAGGGCATGACAGCCGTGCACCGCCACCCAGGGCTTCGATAATCATTTTAACCAGGCATTTTGGTTATACAAGGGGCTTAAGAGGCTGGTATACAAACACGAATAAAACGACTTCTGCTCTCAAAGAACTTGGGGGAGGTGCTACAGATAATGTAAAGCAAAACTACTGTGCTATGTACACATTGTTGATATGAGTCCAGAGAAAGTTTGGGGCAATTGTTTTGGAAGGACTAACCTGTCTTGGCCCTGCAGAGAAGTACATTATAATTCGCAACTGAGAGCAGCAAAAGCCGTGGTGAAGGGATACAGTAAGAAGCGTAGTGTGAGATGGAATGAAACAAATAAATACTATGTTGAAAGCCAAAGTGTGAAATTAGCCTAGAAAGGTGAAATGGAACTACATCGCGGAATTTATTTTATTATATTCTGAAGACACAGTCTTTCTTTGTTGCCCAGGTTGGCCATAACCTTGATAGGTTTGCGGTCTAGGTTTAGTTGTTATTGTTTCTTAGGCTGGCCTGAAACTTGTCCTGGTGTGTTCCACCTTACATGGCAGTCTTTTCCTTTTGAATCCAGAACTTCATGCACGATAAGCACATGCCCTTTTGCCAAACTATATACTTTCTGTCTAAATAATTTCGTTTAGTAACAGTGTAGTAGATGGCCTTGATGGAGGAAGAGCTGGTTGGGATGCAAGTCCTGGAGGTGAGATGAGTCACTGTTGTGGTAGACTAGCCTGATGAAGTCCTGAGCTTGGAAGGTACAAGAAAAAGTAGGCAGTCTCAGGAAATGTTGAAGAGGTATGTCAGTAGTATTTGGTGACTTACAGGAGAGAAATCCCTGACTGGCTATTGGCTATTATTGGATTTCTGGAGCAGACATAGGAGTATTAAAAACAATTTCACAGTTGAATGGTTAGGATTGAGGTACATTTCACGGAAGCAAGGAAAGAGAAGGAAGGAAGAAAGAAAGAGCAGGAGGAGCTGGGCTGCAACTCCCTTGGTAGAATGCTTGAGCAGGCCTGTGATTCTAGTGCTTGGGGGTAAGGCAGGAGGATTAGGAAGTTCAAGGTCATGGGCAAGGGAGAGAGAGTGAGGCAAGTTTCTGGAGTCAGAAACCAGCCTGGTCTGCATAGAGTTCCAGGCCAGCCAACATTATAAAGTGAGACCCTGTTTCAAAAAACAAACCCCACCTCCCCCACCCACCAAAAAAGAAAGAAAATATTAAGTTATTTTTGTGTGTATGTATGTATGCAGTTAGCATTCTGGGAACTCATTAATCCTTTGCATATATTGCTTAGTTTTTAGCAGTGTTATGAAGTAAATGCAGTTGTTGACTACTGGTTAGTTTTTGCTACTTGGTACAACTTACAGTCATTTGGAAAGAGGGAATTTGACTGAAGAATTGTCTCCTTCAGATTGGCCTTTGGCCATGTCTGTGAGAAACTGTCTTGATTGATGGTAGATGTGGGAGAGCCCAGCCCGCTGTGGGCAACACTATCCTGGGCACGTGTGCCTTAGCTGAATAAGAAAGCTAGCTGATTGTAAGCCAGGAAGCAGGCCAGGGAGCAGCACTCCTGTGACTTCTGCTTCACTCCCTTCTTGCTTTGATGTCCCTCAGTGATGGACTGTGGCCTGGAAGTGCAAGCTGAAATAAACCCTTTCTTCCCCCAAGTTGATTTTGGCCATGGCATTTGTCACCAAACTAAACATTCTCCTTCTTCAAATGAAGCAAAACCTTAGAGAGCTATTTAACTTTGCTGCTCGTCGACCCATAGCTAATCTGTGATGTAGCTGGGTGGACATCAGTCTGTCTTAACCAAGAGGCAGGATCCAAAAGGGGACAGTAAGGAGTTTAGGAATATAAAATGAGATTTGGTTTTGAAAAGAAGAGCTCAATAGGTGAACTTTCTAAACTACATTGGATCTCTTGAGGGCAAAGACTTTTGTCCTTATCCTTCTTGGTTCATTGCCAATCTTAGTATTGACTGTAGTTAATACTAGTTAAGTAGATGAGTAAAGGAAAGAACAGGAGGCCACCGGTTTTTTAAATACATGAAAGCAATGTGAGTTATTATTAGGGGTCTGTAAATTTTTGTTGTTTTTTAGACAGGGTCTCATGTAATCCCATGCTGACCTCCAACTCCATATGTAGATGAGGATGGCCTTAAATTTCTGCTTCTGCTTGTCATGTAGTGGGGCTATATGTGGTGCTGGAAACAGCCTCATGCATGCCAGGCAAGCAACTGAGCTATATCCCCAGCATAGAATTTTTTTTTTTTTTCTTTTTTGCAATAAAAGTTTGGGACCGGAGAGATGGTTAAGAGCAATGACTCCTTTTCCAGAGAACTGGGTTCTCTTTCCAGTACCCACTTGGTGGCTCTTAACTATAATTCTAGGTCTAGGGGAGGTGTAACTCCAGTTATGGGGAAGGATGTCTGTGGGCACCAGGCATGTACATGGTACATGGACATACATGTAGTCAAGATACTTAGACATGTAAAAATAATTCCTGTAAAATAAAAGTTTACGATTTGAGTGGCATGTTCATGGTGGTTTGCAAAGTCTGTTGGTCGTGCTAGGAAGTGCTTATGATCCCTGTCTTTCCTCCTCAGCTCTGTTGCTGCGAAGCCGGGTGGTCAAACCTGCTTGTGTCTCAGCGTTTCTCCAGGACCAGCCTACCCCAGGATGGCAGGGCACACGGCACATTCACCTCTCACCAAGCCACCTTTGTATGTTCTCTCTGCCGATGCCTTGTGAACAGTTTTATTTTATTTACTGTTTAACAATTTTTAGTATTATTTTAAGTGTGTGGGTGTTTTGCCTGCATGTCTTGTCTGGGTACTTGCTTGCCTGGTACACAGAGTCCAGAAGAGGGTTTTGGGTTCCCGGAACTGAAGTTCCAGACAGTTGTGCACGGTTACTGGTGCTTCAGCCATCTTTATCTAGACTCATCATTATATATTCGGTGGGTCTTGGTGTCTCTCAGGGAGTCTGTGTTGACTGCTTGTTAAATAAAGACCTAGTTTACACTCCTGGGCAGACAGTGCAAACGTGAGTGATGATGCCATTTATATTCACAGAGAATCTTCTGGCCTAACTTCAAAATTTGTTACATTACTGTTAAGAAAACAGCTGTAGGAAGTCTGTTCAGTGTAGCTCAATTACTGTTTTTTTTTATTTGTTTTTTTTTTTTGTTTTGGGTTTTTTTTTTTTTTTTTTTTTTTTTTTTTGTTATTGTTCTGTTTTATTTTGTTTTTGACAATGGAGAGGAGCCAGCTGGGCATGAACTGAATCTTGGATTTATAGCTGGAATTTTTTTTTAGGTTGATTAAAACCATATGGAATTTCCTAGATAAATACTGTTTGGATATTCACATTAGACAATCTGCACATGAATAATAAGTTAATCATATTTCCATTTTTAAAGTCTGGAGAGAGAAATATTTATTTTGTCCTGGCTCGTCTGAAAATTGCTTTGTACTCCAGGTTAGCCTCAGACTTGCCATGTTCTTCCTGAAATCATGGGTTTTTATTTGTCTTTTTGTTGTTTGTGAATTTTGTTTGAGGTAGGTTTCATACTAGCTGACCTAGAACTCAGTCTGTACTACTGCCTTAGCCTCTTTGGGGCTGTCATGCCTGGCTGCTGAAATCGGTATTTGTAAAGTGTCTTGGTTTTTAAGTTTTACTTTTCAATCCTCCCCAGTTCTTTAGTCTGCCACTTAAGAATTAGAGAGATTTGAGCTGTTGGGTTTTTTCTTCCTTTTAAAACCTTTTTGTTTTTGATTCTGGATTTCTTTTGTTAGTAGCAGACTGGTTCAGGAGTACATGGGACTGAAGAAAGTTTTCTAAAGTTGTATACATAGGTCTTGCTGTATATGCCCATGTGCATTTTTCTGTGTAGGAACTCCATCCTTTTGTAGGTTCTCTTAGAAATGCTTAGAGTTCCCAGATGGTGGTGGCACACACCTTTAATCCCAGCACTTGGGAGGCAGAGTCGGATGGGTCTCTGTGAGTTTGAGGACAGCCAGGGCTTCACAGTGAAACCCTGTCCTGAAGAAACAAACACAACAAAAAGTGAGGGCAGATTAAGGAAGTCCATGAATGCCTGAATAAAAGAATAACAGATATTCATTTGGGGAATACTCATACAGTGAAGGTAAGAAGCCACTGTGGTTGGTTGTTGTCCCTGGAGGTTCAAGATGCTGTGATCAGGTCTCAGACCACCCAGGAGAGCGGGAGAGAGACACTTCCTCTTCTTTACAAGTCTGCACACTGAAGCCACACCCTAAGACCGGTACCAAGTGTAAACAAATTCCTACTACAGGAAAGAAAAAAGAAAAAGAAATGCTTAGAGCCTGTGTTGTTTTTCCCTTGTCTAAAAAAAGCCTTTGTGTTTCATTGGTTTAGCACTGAATTGTAAAGGGGCAGAAGGACTATAACCTTAAAAGGTATTCTTGGACCCATGCTTCTCTTTCATTTGCCTGGTTTAAGTTGTTTTTAGAACATAACTACATTTTCTCCAAGACTAGACAGTTATTGTTGTTGTTGTTATTATTATTATTTAGTCTTATTATTTTAAAGAGGTCCGTTAGTGATCACTAAATTACATTCATGATATGCTTGTTTGCCTGAAGTCCAAGACTGCCTTAATTCTACACATATGTAGCCTGCCTTCTTGCCTTTTAGAAAGTGTGTCTTGTGCTCAGAGATACGAAGGATATGCTTGCTGTCTGATTCTGTGTTCAAGATGGGTCTGCCAAGTATACTTTTTACTATCCTGACAGTTTTAGTAATCATGGGATTGGTTGAAGTGTTTGTCCTTCCTCAACTCTGAGAATCTCTTTTTTGTAGCTGGTTCCAAGGCTGCATCTCTCCACTGGACTAGCGAGAGGGTTGTCAGTGTTTTGCTCCTGGGCCTGCTTCCAGCTGGGTACCTGAATCCCTGCTCTGTGGTGGACTACTCCCTGGCTGCAGCCCTCACCCTGCATGGTCACTGGCAAGTACAACAGCCCTTCCCCATTGTCTGATTGTTCTGTTTGCTGCAAGCCTGTCTGTTTATGAAGAAAATGTTGACTGAAGTTCTCAAGACTTTGGGAAAACTTAAAAACATACAAACAACTACCAACGGCCAAATAAATCTGGGTATGTGGGTAGTTCATTAATATTTAAGTTTTTTGAGTCAGAGTACCCTAAGCTGGCCTTAAACTTTAAGTTGTCGTGACTCAGGCTCACCTGCTGGGATTACTTATGTGTCCTTCTGTCTTAGCTACTTTTCCATTGCTGTGAAGAGACACTATGACCAAGACTTTATTTGGGACTCACAGTTTCAGACGGTGAGTCCATGACTGGCATGTGGGGAGCCTGGCAGCTGGCTGGCAAGTATGGCTCTGGAGCCAGAGCTGAGAGCTCACATCCTCATCCATAAGTAGGAGGCACAGAGAGAGCCCTGGGAATGGTGAGAGTCTTTTGAAACCTCCAAGGCACCCCCAGTGACACTTCCAGCAAGGCCACACCTCCTAGGCCTCCCCAAAGAGTTCCACCAAGTAGTCAAAGGCCAGTGGAGGCTGTCTCATTCAAACCACCCAAACCACCGGCACCACCACTGCTCCCACACAAACACACACCCACTCGTCTCATTTCCAGCTGCCCCTTTCAGGCACACTGGCTTTCTTACTACTCCTCAGATGTGCTGGGGACCCTCCACTCTCTTCTTGTTCTGTGCGAAACTTTTACTAGTTATGTGCTTGCTTGGCTTGTCCCCCATCTTAAGATATTGAACATTGTACTCTCAGCAAAGTCTTCCCTAACCACTTACTCGGTTCTCACATTTGTCATCTTTTACTTAGGAACACTTGCTACTTCTGTTTACTATTTTTGTGCATTTGTCCCTTCCTGGCCTTCCTTTCTATAATGAAGTGCAGACAGAGCTTGTCAGGTAGCTCAGTTGTTACAGTGTTTGTCTAGCATTTGTGAAGCCCTGTTTTCTCTCCCCACCATTCCAGGCTTGGTGGTACTTGCCTGTAATCTAGCACCAAGGAGGAGGGGTCAAAAGGATCAGAGGTTCAAAGTCATCATTAGCAATATAGCAAATTTGAGGTCATAGCAAGATCTCATTACAAAAAAAAAAAAAAAAAAAAAAAACTGTAACAGCAAAAAAGAAAACAAAATGTACTTGCATTAAAACTTATACAATAATGTCATAGCACATCACTTAAATTAGTTAAAAGTGAAAACCATCCATGTGGCCAAAATAGAATATAGAGTATTATTCAGCCACATAAAGGAATGGAGTACTAAGGTGTGCTTCAATGTGGATGAATGTTGAAAGCAAAACTATGCTGAATAAAGAAGTATGACCCAAAGGACATAGCTAAGTCCTGCATGGTCTTATTTCTATGAAATGCCAGAATAGGCAAATCTATAGAGACAAGTCAGTGAGTGATTGGGTAGTGAATGGGCTAATAGCTAGTGCTTCTTTTTATGTGTGTGGAATGTTCTAGAATTGGTAGTTCACAACTTTGACTGCACTAAAAAACCGAATTGAATGCTGTTAAAAAGGTGCAATTTGCTGGACATGGTGGCCCATGCCTTTAATCTCAGCACTCGGGAGATAGAGGTAGGTGGATCCCTGGGTTCAACCTGGTCTAGAGAGTAAATTCCAGGACAGCCAGAGCTACACAGAAAAACTGTCTTGAAGAAAAAAAAGTAAAAGAAAGAACTGCTGTAGAAATAGTAAAGTTGGGTCACTTATTTAGGATACTTCTGCTTAAAATCAGGTGAGTGTTTTTTGGGGCACTCTGCAGTCTACACCTGCTTTATTATGGTTTTTACTTGACTCACAGGCTCCAGCCTCATTAACTTACTGTTCCATTATCCTTAGCATTCATGACATGTTCTGCCAACAATACCTGCTTAGTAAACTCTACATGAGTGAAGATACTGTAGAACATTTGTTTTAGTTAGAAATGAAGAGGAGAGTTTATTATTTGTTTTTGGTTTTTCAAGACAAGGTTTTGTAATGAGTAAGGTTTTTCGTCCTGCCGCCGCGCCAGCCCCAATTAACACACTGAGACTCTGTATTAGATATTATTCTGTTGGCCAAGTACTTGTTTCTTATCGGCTAGCTCTGTCTTAATTATTAACCCATTTCTATGTATTTCCACGTGGTCTTACCGAGAGCGGAGGAATGGCGGTTCTGTTCTCTCCAGACTCTCCATCTTGACTCCTCCTTACTACTTCCTCTTCCTCCTTGTCTCCTAGTCCCTCCTATCCTCCTTTCCTATTGGCCAACAGTGCTTTATTTATTAACCAGTATGAGAAACATATACATAATGGCATCTCCCATCATCTCCTCTTTTCTGTCTAAATAAAAAGAAGGGTTTTAAGCTTAACATAGCAAAATATATCACATAACAGTTATCAAATAAGAATCACAGTTAACATTATTTAGTTCATTAACATTTAGCAAGATTTGAAGAAAATATTCCATTATCTATTTTATCTTTGTGAGTTAAAGTCCTATATGTAATTTATCTTTAAGCTTAATTAAGGAAAACTATAACCATAACTATCTGTCTTCAACTCCATCAAAGACCACAGAAGGATAGTATATAAACTCTAGAAATGACAGAGACACTTTGCCTTGTCAGTCACCTGAAGTTCTTCTGTAATCTTCCATCTTCAGCCCATAGGCCATAGTGCGTCTGGCAGACTCTTCAGCAAAGCAGGAAACTTTAAACTGTCTTTTTGTATTGGCAGTTTATCAGTCACTTTCCTCTGTGTCCTGCAGACTGTCTGGCAGATTCTTCCATTAAGCAGGAATTCTATAGCAATGTCCATCTTGAATCAGCAATCACTTTTCTGTGGGTCCTGCATGTCCAATTTATACATCACAAAGTCAAACAGTCCAGACAAGAGCAGTATCTTGTCCAAATGGCTAGTCTTGCCATATTGGAAGCAAACTCCAAAACGAGTTTCTTCAATGTCCATCTTCCTTTCTGGTGCAGGTGGTATTGCCAAGAGCAATTATGTCTCACTGTCACGAAAACCCTAAACCATTTTAAATGCCATATTCTGTAGGTCTTTGAAAGGTTTGAAGAATGCCTATCTATCTCAGATACATCTCTGTGTATCTTGAAAACCTAGCTAACTTAACTCTAAGCTTTGACTATCATAGATAATTATCTATAATCTGTACTACATTATACAATACATTTCTGAATGAATTATATAAACACAATACCTAAACAAAAGGAGAAATATACACATCACAAAATTGACCTTAAATTGTATCAATAAATGAAAATCTATTCCAAAACAAAGTATTCATATCTATACCATAATCCCCTTTTTACCTTTAAAACATTATTGGTTGTGATCATTAACCATTTATAACCAACCCCATTTAAATGAAAACAAACATTTATAAACAATATTTGGGAATTTGGGCGTCGTTCTTTCCAAACTACTTTCTGCTGGTAAAGGGCGCTGTCATGGGGGAATACTAAGAAGATGCAGAAATCCTGGTTGTAGTCTGCGAGTTACTTTGGCTTGTTATCTCAAAATATAGAAATAATTCCACCTGTAAAAGTGGCTACACAGAATCTCTGGAGGAAGCAAACAGTTATTGGAGTTACAGATAAAGACTTTGTGTTTTGAGACTGACTTTTTGGGTGAGTGGGTCATGGCTTGCCTGTCTGGCCTCTAACTGCCCTGTGCTGTGATTTTCTTTTCTTTAGGGGCCTAGGACAAGTGGTGACTGACTACGTTCATGGGGATGCAACACAGAAGGCTGTCAAGGCAGGCCTCTTGGCCGTCTCCGCTTTGACCTTTGCTGGGCTTTGCTATTTCAACTACCACGATGTGGGCATCTGCAGAGCAGTTGCCATGCTGTGGAAGCTCTGACCTCTGCGATGCGACACCCTAGATTGTATGCCTCATTGCCTTGCTCTGTCGATGCCATTGAACTCCCAGTGAGGAGGGCGTGAAGGAGAAGTCCATTGATGGACAGAATTTCTTCTAATTACATGGTTATTTTCAGAATTCATTTGTTGAGGAAAAGCTTTGTGAGGAGTTAGGTTCAACTAGTCCTGAGTCTTGAGTTCCATATAGACTCACGGTATGACTACACATTTCATGAGCTTGGGTTGCCTTTAACTACCGATGCTTGAGCAGAGCTCTGCTTATTCCTGCTCGAATAAGGGGAGACATCACTACTTGTACTGGGAGGGAGGACTGTTCATTCAGTCATGAGTCATATACTTCGCATGAAATTGGAAAGTATTCCATTTGGAACCTTCCACTCTGTTCAGTTGACACCAGCTGTTGGTGGCTCTGAGTCTAAGGAAGCTGAATTTAGAGATGTTCACTTTAGGGAGTTCTCCTTTGTAAGTGGGTTGAAATATGACAGATTCCAGACAGGCTCACTCTCAGATAAGTGTCACTTGTGCAGGAATAAGCTGTCCACAAAGGCTGGGTAATAAAGTGTTTTCCCACCATGGGGATTCCTAATGACAAATTATACTCTGAGAAAGCAAAATTTTTAAATAAAATATTATACACTGAATATACATTGTACTTTTTATGTGCTAATATTTCTAGTGTCTGGATTTTTGGTTAGCCATTTGTTTGTTTAAGATAGAGTCTTAGAGGCCAAATTGGATCTGGAACTCTTTATAGGTAGAACAGGCTGGCCTTGAATTTGTAGGAGAACAGGGTGCCCTCAAACTTGTAGCAGTCTCTGCCTCTCAAGTGCTGGCATTAGAGCTGTCAAGTGCTAGGGTTATAGTTGTGAACCACAAAACTCACATGTTTTAATTTGAGATGGTATCTTAGTGTGTTGTCCAGGCCAGCATCCAAATCCTAGTCTCAAGCCATTCTGTCTGGTCTCCTGAGTTGTATATTGCTATGCCTGGCTCTAGTTTTTAGTCATTAAAACTGTTATGTCCCAGTCTCAGGAGGCAGAGGCAGGCAGATCTCTGAGTTTGAGGCCAGCCTGGTCTACAGAATGAGTTCCAGGATAGTCACGGCTGTTACACAGAAAAACCCTGTCTTGAAAGAAACCAAAAACCAAACCAATATAAAAAACCTTTTATGCATTGGGCAGTGTGTTACACACCTTTAATCCCAGCACTTGGAAGGTAGAGGCAGGTGGAACTCTGAGTTTGAGGCCAGCCTGATCTTCCGAGCAAGTTCCAGGATAGCCAGGGATACATAAAGAAACCCTGTCTTGACACCTTCCCCAAAAGAAAAACAACAAAAAAATACTGTTGTGCCAGGTATGGTGGTACATGCCTCTAATTCCAGCCTTCTGGGAGGCAGAGGGAAGAGGGTTGGTGTGAGTTTGAGGCCAACGTCAACCTCAGCAAGCTTATACATAGTGAAATTGTTACTTAACAACACCACTCCCCCAATTAAACCTCCAAGTAATTAAAACTAAGTGTTGCATCCACAGTTCTGAATCAGCTGAGTTTTAACTTGTGAGGCTTAGCAAATGTGTAATTCACATAGAATGCAACAGTACAGAAAGGGCTCATGTGATAGGCAGGAAGAGGCAGTTAAGTATGACTAAAATATGAAGATTGAGTATTAAGTGTTAGAACTATCTTAGTGCTAGGGTGTTCTGTGAGTGCCAAGCCTTCTAAACCCCATGTTCTAGCTGCATGGACTTGAAGGCTTGATAATTATTAACACATTTCACTCCCTGGGGACTTGAGGGGCAGCAAGGCTGGGATGTGTTTAAATGGAAGGGCCATCTGATTTCCAGGGACCATTTGCAGTATGTGTCAGTACGTTAGGTGACACGATTGCATGGTCAGCAATACCTTGAACAGTAGGGTAGGAAACGGGAAAACTGGTATGAAGTGGGGCTGGTGAGATGGCTTGGTGGGTAAAAGCAGCTGCTCCCAAGCCTGAGAGAGCCTGAGAAAACGACTCCCATTGTCCTATGACCTCTGCAGAGGTTCTGTGATATACATGAACCTCCCCTTTCAAAAAAAGAAAAAGAAAATAGAATTAAAAATCAGGGGTGGAAGAGAATGCTCTATCCATGAGCATATTTAACTGCTAACCATGACAACCTGAATTTGTGCATCAGGCAGCGGGGTGGAGGGAGAAATGACCCTTTGTTATCCCTCAAATGGCTTGAGCACATACAGACAGATAATAAATGTAGTGGTAATAACAAACTAAGAAGGCAGAGTTCAAGCACGGTTGTGAAAAGCCTGCCAGCTGCCTCCATCTTGTTTCCCAATGGCCAGCCTTCTGTGACCAGATTCAAAATGAGCCCGCAATGGCCTTGTAGTCTGTGCTCAGGCTCCACAGTGACCAGCTGGAAGGTTAAAGGTAATCCAATGGCAGGGCTTCAAAAGGTCCACAAAGTTGAAAAAGCAAACTGGCAACAGTAAATTCAACAAGCTGTGCCTTCCTGATACAAAGCTCAAAGGAAAGCTGATGGTGGTCATGCTGTTAGTGATGCCTCCCTGCCACAAAGCTGAAGGGATTGTGGCAGTCACCCATGGTAATGATGCCTTCTCAGGCATATGCAGAGTGACTGACTACAAGGCAAGCCTAAGAAGAACTCTTGAGCACATACTTATTTTGTGTGTGTTTGCATGCAGGGTGGCCATACTCCAGTGACGGTCAGAAGGTGTCCTGCTGGAGTCAGCTTTTCTCACTGAGTGAGTGTTGGGGACCCAACTCAGGTCATCGGGTGCAGCATCGAGTACTGTCACCTGCTGAGCCATCTCTCTGTCTCTAAACCATATCTTTTTTTTTCAAACTTTTTTAAAAATAGGAAATAGAATCTTTTCTCATATAATACATCCCAACCAGTTTCCCTTTCCTCCACTCCTCCTAGCCACCACCATCTCCCCTCTCCCCCCCAGATCCAACAGGACAAAGCAAGGTAAAATAAGGCAGGTGAAAGCCCTCATCAAGGTTTGATAAGGTAATCCAATAGGAAAAGAATCTCAAGAGCAGGCAAGAGTCAGAGATACACTAGGTCCCACTTTTAGGAGTCTCAAAAACACCAAGCTAAGAGCCATAACATATATGCAGAGAACGTGGTACAATTATTTCTTGTTATTTTGTGTGTGTGAGTTTTGCTTGAATGTGTATATGCATGCAAGCCCTCTCTCTCAAGGGCAGTGCCCATGGAAGCCAGAAGAGGGCACCAGATTCTCTCTCTCTCTCTCTCTCTCTCTCTCTCTCTCTCTCCCTCTCTCATGTGTTATCTGTGTTATCACTTGCTGGCAAAGGAAACTACCTACTGTGGTGGGTGCTCTGTCCTTCAATTACTTGGTCCTCTTGTTTTGCACCTCTATCTGTTGTCTGTTGTAAAGAATGATGCGGTGAGTAGTCTTGAGTAATGTCTCTCTGTCTTGTGGTGAACATAGTGTTTCATCTTTGTCCTTGACCTCTATATGTGTGGAATTTATTGAATTTTACTTCTGTTGCTTGTGTGTATGTATGGGGGGGGGATGTCGGGGAGCATGTTCGTGCACATGTAGACACCAGAGTACGAGGCTGGGTCTTTTGCTTTGTCACTTTGCTCTTCACCTTATTTTCTGAGACAGGGTTTCACTGAATTAGAAACTTAAAACCATTTTGGCTAGGCTAGCTGCCAGGTGAGCTCATAGGATCCTTCCCCTAGTGCTGTAGTTACTGCCATGTACTGCTGTGCCTAGCATTTACATGGGCCTGGGGATTTGAACTCAGGTTCTCTTGCTTTAACAGCAAGTGGTCTTACATACTAAACCACATTTCTAGGCCCTGAGTTTGATTTTTGAAATTTCTGTTTGAGACGGATCACGTTACATATAGATCAGGCTGGCTTTGAACTCACTGTGTAGCCCAGGTTGACCTCAAACTCCCCCTAGGTCCTCTTGCCTCAGTGCCTTGAGTGCAGGGATTGCAGCCATGTGTCGCCAGTTTTGACTCTTTATGATATATTTTCCTTCGCTCCTTGTGTCACAGCTGCTTCACCTTTTATCTTAGCTTGTATTTTAACTATTACTGAGTTTATGTCCTCAGATACTGTGAATACAGAAGGATAGGAGGGGCTTAACTAAAGCATTTACCTAAGTTGTTCTATTATTGTAAAAGCTCTGGAGTCAGATATTGGGATAAAAACCTGATTGATGAAGAGAGCAGCGGAGAAGCAACCAGCTGACCCTCAGTCTGCGCTTCCCAGATTGAAAGGCCTGTAAATCTCTAAGCCCCTCCCTGATCTTGCTCCTAACCTATCATACCCTGGTTCCTCCAAAATCTCTATGGCTAATTCCAGCCAGCTAGTCATTGTCTCCACCCCCTGATTCAAGGTTAACTTTATTAACAGTCTCAATGTCACAGTATGATAAAATATCCCATAACAACCACTGGGATGGCTCTTGCAGAGAACCTGGATTCGATCCCATCCACCCACACAGTGACTCACAACTTCAAGGGGGATCAGACTCTCTTTTTTGGCCTTCCTGGGTATTACACACACACACACACACACACACACACACACACACACACACGCACGCAGACAAAACATCTATACACATAACAGTCTTTTAAAGAAGTAAGTGACACTTTTTATAGCCTTTATCAGCTCTATTTCTGGTTTGAATATTCTCCTAAAGAGATGGGTGTGACTGATGATTTGACACTTGGGCTACGACTCAGCTCTATTGGTGACCCTGTATATTGGCTACACATTTCTTCTCCCTCAGACTGTCACTGTTCCTTTCCCTTCAGGCTTTTACAGCAGGCCTACATGCTTTTTCATACTATTTCTCCTTCTTTTTCTTCCTGTTCCTCTTCCCCCTTTTACTCCTCATTCTTTTTAATATTTAATGCCACTTAGAAGCTTGCAGAATTCAATAAATTTCTATTTAGCTCCTTTTGTTTCATGTAATAAATTTAGTCAGTGAAACTTGTGGCATTATCTTCAGTGACATAGCCACTTGTGAGTTACTCAGGCACCAGTCGACCCTACATGAAGCCCACAGGAGCAACCCAGTGGGTGGAAAATTGAAAAAAAATACTGAGAAGACAGGGGATGGGCTCCTCTACAATTACACACACACACACACACACACACGCACACACACACACACACACACACACACGTGTTGTAACTAACACTTAAGAGCAGCCTTAACAGGATGTGGTGGCACATGCCCTATAACCCCTGAAGTTGGGAGACAGAGACAGGAAAACTACGAGTTTGGGTCCAGCTGGCACTACATAGTGAGACCCTGTCTCATCAAAAAAGATGAAGTAGAAGAGAAGGAACCTTTTTTCTGGCTATTTTGTAATTTTAGCATTGTCCAAAGTGAAAATGGATTCTGGTGGCATTAAGTGTTTGTTTGCCTTTTTTCTTCTTCAAGATGGGGTTTCTCTGTATAGCCCTGGCTGTCCTGGAACTCCTTTTGTAGACTAGACTGTCCTCAAATCACAGAGATCTTCCTGCCTCTGCCTCCTGAGGGCTGGAATTAAAGGCATGTGCCCAACATCTAGTCTCTGTTGACATTGCTATACTATGTCCTGATCAATAGCGTCTTAAATAGAGAAATGAGTCAGCATCGCACAT